CCAGAAGCCTTCCTGATCTCCCGAGGCTTGCTGGCTTTCCCTTCAGACCACACATAGCCCTCCATTCAAATACCTTCAATGCTCCTCCCCTTTTAATTTTTGCACCAGACTTCTGATTTCATTTCTCAGTGCAGGGGGCTCCTAGTGATGAACTTCCTCCACCAAAGCAGATTTTGGCAATTTGGAGTCTCAGAGAGCTGCCTAGGGCCCTGGTCCAAGTTAACAACAGTCAGTAGGTAACAAAGGTAACAAAGGCTGCTCTCCATCCATTATGCAAGAGATTGTCCCTTGACTAGCTTTGTTATGTGCTATTGGGTATTGTCAGGATCTCAGTAAAGAGTTCAAGAGAGCTAGACTTGGGCTCTGATCTTGCCTCTGCCGCCAGCGTTGGGCGAGTCATTTCCACATCTGGGCTTCAGTTTCCATTTTGAAATAGGAAGACTGCACTAGACCAGGGGTGGGGAACCTGTGGCTTCCAGGCCACATGTGGCCCTCTAGGTCTTTAAGTGCGGCCCTTTGACTGAAACCAAACTTCACAGAACAACCCGTGGTGTTGCTGCTTGGTCATTTTTCAGTTATGTCCGACTCTTCCTGTGATTTGTTCTGTGAAGTTTGGATTGAGTCAAAGGGCCGCACTTGAGGACCCAGAGGGCCACATGTGGCCTTGAGGCCAAAGGTTGTCCCCTCCCCTCGAGACCCAATCTAAGGTCTTTTTCAGCTCTAACTCCCATGACACCTCCCACCCCTTTTTCTAGATTGCAAGCTCCCCGCAAGGGAAGAGATAGCTCTAAAAATCTCTGACAGTTGTCACTCTCTGTGCTCAGCACAGGACTGCACACAGTAGGGACTTAATAGAGGTTAGCTGAATTAAAGCCTGCACACAGCCCTCTGATTGAGGTACTCTACTTCCCTGCTTTGCTGACACTGTAACATTTAGCTTCTCTGCCTGCCCTGGCCTCTCTTCAGGGGGGCAAGTTAATGACCTACTATAATGCATCAGTACACTAGGGTGGGGTGTGTGTGTGTGTGTGTGTGTGTGTGTGTGTGTGTGGTGTGTGTGTGTGAGAGAGAGAGAGAGAGAGAGAGAGAGAGAGAGAGAGAGAGAGAGAGAGAGAGAAAGGGGAAGTGAGAGAGGGAAAGGGGGGAGGGAGAGAGAGAGACAGAGAAAGAGAGGGACAGAGAGAGCATGCTGTTGCACGAAGGAGCCCCACAGGGGATTCCTTCACCCAGGGACTAGGGGCTAGGGATAGAGAGCTCAGACTGAAGAGCTCAGGCCTGGTGTCAGAAGACCTGGATTTGCATCCTGGCTCTGAAAGTGCCCAGCTATGTGACATTGGCCATTTTACTTCTCCCTAAGACTCAGTTTCTTCATTGGATAAATCAGAATGAAAATATTTGCCCTAACTACCCCCACAGGGTTACTGCAAGGAGCAACATTTTGTGAACCTGAAAGCGCTAAGGAAGCCAAGTGTGGAGAGGGATCTGAATTCAAATCCTCCTTCTGCCCCTCCAGGCTATGACCCCGGGCAAGTCAGGTTACTTAATCTCTCAGTGTTTTATCAGAGAGCAAATACTGACCAGCGTGGGTAGGAGCTCACCACTTCAGTGAAACGACAGGTCCAGTCCCTATGCCTAGTAATTGGCCCCAGGTGCATCTGACAGCTGAGGGTGGGTGATTGTCTATGTAAATAAAGGTTTACTGGCCCAGTGCAAACCAATCAGGATGGGGGAGGAGGGTGGGCAGAGAGTAAGGGGACTTTTTTTTTTACCAGAAGTCGGCCCGGAAGGACCAGGGAAGGATACTGAGAAATAGCACGTGTAGAGAAAGAGTAATGCGAAGGAAGCAAGTTTCACGATGCAGTGGAAATGGTACTGAATTAGGGGTCAGAGAACCCCAGTTCATATGCCAGCATTTGCACTTACCAGTTGTCTGACTTTGGGCAAAATCTGAGCACTGCCTTCCGACCTCGGAGGCCAAATTATGGCTGAACAAGGATCCTCTCTGCAGCCTTCAGTTGGGTTTGATCATTTGTTCAGTGTTTACCTCTGACTAGCACTGGAGGTGCAAATAAAAAAAATCAAATAGTCCCTGTCCTCAGGGAGCTTCCGTTCTTTGGGACAAACAGTCATCTAGGTTTGTCTCAGAAGACCTCTATGGTGGCAGCCTACTGCGCCATGGCACAGCTCTAATAGCTAGGAAATGTGCTGGGTTTTTTCCTTTAAGTTGAAATCTATGTTTGCAACTTCAGCCCAGCTCTGGGTTCTGCTCTCTGGGGCCAAGCAGAATAAACCTAATCATTTCCCACAAGACAGCCCTTCAAATGCTTGAAGACAGCTATCCAGCCCCCTTTAAATCTTACCTTCTTCAAGCTAAATGATCTCCCTTCACTCAATGGCAGGTCAGTGGGTCCTGGTGTCTTCATCTATAAAAGGGGGAAGGGGTCCTCCTAGCTTTGAATCCCACCTTCCTAAATGTGAGGTTTAGATTCCTAAGGGAGATGGAGGAGCGTTACTTAAGTGGGAGACTGGCCCCAGAGCTCCCTTCTCCAGAGGCCCGAAGGACAGGACCTCTTCAGTGCCCTACTCTCCCTGGGGTTGAAGCCAGATCGCTGGAGAGATGCCACCAGGGAGTCCCAGGGGCTGAGTGGAGGAGAGAGACTGAAAAAGCCACTTTGGGACTTCGAATCATGGCTGGACAAGTCCTTCCTTAGACAATTTAATCCAGCTCCGTATAAGGAAATTTGTTTCATCCAAGTGGGATGGGCTCCCTTGAGCTCCACACCACTGGAGGTCTTTAAGTGGGCACTGGCTGACTGCTCATCAGGGAGGCTGCAGACAGTGTGAGGATTGGGCTGGAAGGATTCTCAGAGTCATGTGAAATATAGAAGCATTTATTAATCATCTGCCATGTTTGGGGCACTGGGCTAAAACCCTGGGAAACAAAGAAACACCAAAATATGAAACAAACCTGCAGACCATCCCCTAATCTGTAAGATGAAGAAATTGAGGCCCACAGAAGTTATAAATGACTTGCCCAAGATCACACAGATTGTACCGAGTTACTTAGATACTAGTAAAATTGGGGGCAGCTAGGCAGTGCCATACTGCATAATAGATGACCAGGGTCTGGAGTCAGGAAGGCTCATCTCAGACATTTACTGGCTGTGTGACCTTGGGCAAGCCGCTTAACCCCTTTTGCCTCAGTTTCCTGATGTGTAAAATGAGCTGGAGAAGGAAATGGCAAAGTTTTTCAATATCTTTGCCAACAAAAATCCCAAATGGAATCACGAAGAGTTGGACAGGACTGAAAAATGACCAACAACACCACCACAGGTTAAATAAGAGGGGCTGAAGTTCCTTCCAGTCCTGAGCCAATGAATGCATATTCTACAGCAGAGGAAACTAAAGGTCAGAGGTTAAGGGGCTTGCCCAGGGCCATACTGCACTGCAGGGTGGGGAGCTCACCCACGTGGATATATTCATGTACCTATGATGATAGCCAGGATGTAGGCATTGCCCCATTCCCACCAAGGAATACTCCAGAGTCTATAATCAGAACCAGTGTTTATTAGCGCGATCCCATCCACAGGAACTTCCCTTGACCCCGTGGCTCAGGCCCCTTGTCTCCCATCTCCCCCCTCCCCTGCAGTCTCCCTGTACAACTATTTACAGCCCCAGGGTGGCCCCCACGGGAGGTGAGAAGGGGTTCTGATCTTCCATCCCAGTATGCCTTAGGCTACCCCCATTGCCACCCCCCTTTGGGGCTGGGCTTCCCAGGAGAGATGGTTTCTCGTAGGGCAGGGAGATGGGGAAAGGCTGTGGCTGCAAATGCTGGTCCAACAACTCAACTGGACTCTCCAAGGTGCCCCTGAAGGAAGCAGTCCAGGAAGGTGGAAGGAAGGTTGGGTGACTGGAAGAGGGTCTGGCGTGGACTGTCCTTCCTTCCTCCTTCCCCCAATAAATAGAGAATAAATATCCTAAAATGCCCCCTCTACACCTTCCCACCAGCCGCTTAGCAAGACCCAGTGGAGGGGCTGCCGGCTTTTCCCAGCACGGCCCAGGACCTGGCGTCCCGTGGCTCCCCAGAGGTGGGAGGGAGGAGGGCTGGCATAGACTCTCTACATTCATTCCTCCCACCTGCTCTCCTCTGCTCACTGTGCCCTCGCCCCTTCAGTTGGCACACAGTCCAGTCTCTATGGACTCCTCTGCCTTCTCCTGGTCCCCCTGCTCTCCTCTCCTGCCTAGAGATGCTCTTACATTGTCCCTGCTTAGGCCCAGACCCTGGACTCCCCATTCCAGCCCCAGCCCAAAACGCCCATGCCATACTGGCCAATGATCAGCAACCAACCCCATCCCCTGACCCAGTCCATCTCTCTTTGTCCTGTCCTCCACCAGCCCCCAAAGTGGTTTGGCCCCTTCCTGCCTGCACATACCTGCTCTGCCCTGCCCTGCACACGCTTAATTCTGTGTGTACTCTTATGAGATCTGTGCCCCAAACTGAGTTGGGGAGTGGGGGAGAGGAAACTGACTCTCCATCCTCAGAATTTTGGTTGCCCCAACCCCAGCCCAGACCCACCACCCCCTCTCCAAGATGTGCAGTGGGCGGCTACCGGCTAGAGGCGGCTCTGGTCCTGGCCATGGTCATACTGCAACTGCTTAGAGAGAAATCCTTCCCCAAGCTTTTGGGTCTTCTCACAGCTGACAAATCCAGGGGATGTTGGTTGGCTGAGGAGCCGGCCGTCTTGAGTCCTAGCTGGGCTCTGGCTCCCTCTGTGCAGACCAGGGCACCTAGTCCTTGTCTGAGATCCTGAACCCCTGCCACAAGCTGGGGCTGGGAAGGAGATGGAGATGGCCCCGGGCTTCCGATCCCAAGGGACTATGTAGGACTTACCAATAAATACTGATAAAAGGGATGTGTGTGTGTGTGTGTGTGTGTGTGTGTGTGTGTGTGTGTGTGTGTGCATGTATATGTGTCTCTCTTTGTATATATATATATATAATATATAGATATTTATATATATATCTTTTTATATTAAAATGGGAGAGGGGGTAATGGCCTGGGGGTGGGGGATGGTGGGAAAATAGAGATGTGATGAGATAGTTTATGGCCCCCCAAGGTTGCAGGGGGCAGGGCAGCAGCAATGGTGGTTTCATGTGTCCGGCTGGTGATTGCGACGGTTTCGAGGCTTTTTCTGGTCCGGTAGCTCAGGGGTCTTGAGCCCCCCAGGAGCCTCTTTGTGGTTTGGGGGCGCATGGCGCCAGTATCCCTGACAGTACTGGTTGATAAGTCCCATTTCGGGCTGGGCCAGGAGCTGCGCCAGCTCCTGGTAGGGAGGCGTAGGGGGCCTGAGGCTGGCTGTGGCGGGGTCAGCCCCAGGGGGCTGCAGGGCAGCAACGGCAGCTCCCGGCGGGAAGAGCACAGCATGGACGGCTGTTCGGCTGAGGATGTGCAGCTGGACACGAGTGACCACATGCTTGAAGTTGTTCTCGGTGGCTGTACAAGTGTAAAGGCCGGCGTCGTTCAGCTGAAGGGCCCGAAGGAGCAGGCCAGGCTCGGTCCGCAGCATGCGGTCTTCTGATCGAAGCTGGAGAAACGGAGAGCAAGTGAGGACCTCAGGGGACCAGGCCATTGCTAGCATCCTCCACCCCCAGGGTTCTTTTTGCAGGCTCCCCTCCCTGACCTCCATCTCTTCTATGTCCCCTTTTCTGAGGATTTTCACCTCCACCCCCAACCCTACCAGCCCATCCTAATTCAGGATCAGACTTCCCTAAAAGGCCAGGGGACATGTGCCTAAGGGCTTTGAGGAGGGAGAAACAATGACAGCTCAGACCTGTAAGATCTCCAGAAAGTTTAAGGAAGGATCCTTATCCCCATTTTGCAGGTTCAGAAAAATTAGATACTCAATGCCAGACAGAAACCCAGCTCTTTGGATCAGTCACAGGCTATTGGACAGAATACCTAGTCTGAACTCTTCATTATACTAGGGAAGGAAGTAGCCCAGCTGGGATTCTAAGATCAGTGCTCTATCCATAACACCCTATGGCCTCTACGAATCTGGGGGTACTCCTGGGGAGGGTAGCTCCCTCGCTCACCTCCTTTCTCCGGTCGCTGGCATCTCTTTGGAAAAGCCATTTGATGGTGGCCTGGGGGGATCGGGGTTGACACTCCAGGAAGGCAGCACTGCCCTCAACCCCATACTGTACCGACTCCACTGTGTTCTTATTGACTAGGGAAAGAGGTGCCCAGATAATTTCAGAATGCTGATTTACTGAAGACCCCACCCCTGTGCATCCTTCACACGTACCCCTACACCACCTTCCTCCTGCACCGAGAGCTTCCACAGGATACATCTCCCATGGGTCAAAAGCCTGGGGCATCTCTTCTTTTCTGGCATTGGGGCCCTCTATAATCACGTACCACTCTACCTTCCTAGTCAATCTCATCTCATGAATCCTTCTCCAGTATACTCCCGCCATACGAGACTGTTCTCTCCCACCCAAAAACACATTCTTCTGTCTCAGTGTCTTTACTCAGGCTGCTTCCTAGTGCTGGAATGGCCTCTTGTCCACTTCCTCACTGGCTGAACTCCTAACCATCCTTTAAAAGCTAATTCAAACACCACTTCCTCCAGGAAGCCTGCCCTGATTCCTGCTCCTCCACTCTTTCTCCCATTGACTGTGTAATGCTGTGCATTGATGTGATGTATTCAAAGGAATTTGGAGCAGGAAAAGAACATATAAATAATTTTGGCCAAGTGTCTTGTTTCACAGATAAGGATGCTGAGGTTCAAGGTTGACCCCAGGTCCTCCTGACTTTGAGGCTGGCTCCCTCCAAAATAGCTTTGTTTTTTCAAAATCAATGAACCTCACAGGAATTATGGAGAAAGGAGTATTGAATAACATGCCGTGACTTCCCAAAGACTTGAAGTCATTGTACTCAATGGCTCACAAAAGCTGGTTGAGCTGTAGTAAAGTTTTTGTATATACACGTGTGTGTGTGTGTGTGTGTGTGTGTGTGTGTGTGTGTGTGTGTGTGTGTGTGTGTGTAGAGTGGATAGAGGCTAATAGTCTACCTCCCCACTGGACTGTGAGGACCAAGAGAGCAGGGACACACTGGGTCTTAGCTAAACTGTGTCTCTCTCCCCAGGGCCCACTCCATTGTAAGGCTCTGCACACAGTAGACAGTTAATAAGTGTCCGAGACAGCCCTTTGGGATTTCTTTATAGTGAGGCATACCAGTAATTTTCAAAGTCTGGTAGATGGGGTTTCTGCAGAATGACAGACATCCAGCTCACTAACAGATTTGTGGGGGAGGCCCCTCCAGGAAGGATGTGAGGCCATACTCACCATTGGAATTGAACCCCCTGCACTGACGAATGGGGTTGCCATGGCGGATGTCTTGACGGCGGCTACGTCTAGAGGAGAAGAAAAGAGAGACCCACTCTCAAAAGAACCATCCCTGTCCTTGCCCCGGTCCTTCCTAGCTCCTCTGATCCAGGGCTCTCCAGGGGCAGGGGCCGTGTCTGTCCCCCACACCAGGACTCCCCTCAAGTCAGGGTCTATGCTTCTTTCGTACACCAGACCAGGGGCTCCCTAAAGGCAAAGGCCCTCTCCTATTGGGGCTGTGTGGGCCCCTGCTCAGACCAGTCCAGCCTCAACCCTGTCCCCTCCCCCTCCCCCTCAGCCTCTTACCTTTTAGAGGAAGCTGAGTAGCGGGAGCAGAATTTGCCATCCCAGGCGCAGTAGGGGTCCCTGGCAAGACAGCAGTCAGCACAGGCAGCCCCATAGGTGTGGCAGCGATGCAGGCCCAGGTGGGTTACGCCCACAGCAGAGGCCACATACAGTTGTTGCTGGGAAGGCATCAAGGGTGTGGTCAGAGTCCTCATCCTACCCATGTCCCTCAGTTCCCATACCTCAGCAGGCTAGAGACTGCCCATCTTTGGCGGGCAGCCAGGTGACGCAACGGACAGACCCCTGGCCCTGGAGTCAGTAAGGAAGACCTGAATTCAAAGTCAGTCTCAGACACTTCCTAGCTGTATGACCCTGGGCAAGTCACTTAAACCTCTGTTGGCCTCAGTTTCCTCAACTGTAAAATGGGAATAATAATATCTCCTACCTCCCAGGGTTGCTGTGAGAATGAAATATTTGTACAGAGCTATACAAATGCTAGCTCCTCTTCCTCCTAAATGTTATTGTTTTTATTATTAGGCTAGGATTGTGGAAGAGCTCTTCCCACGTTCTGTTTTCCTTAACAGTCCCATCTGTATATTCAGAGAAGAGTCATGGGACTTAAAGCCAGAAGGGACTGGAGAGAGCCGGGCTTTGTATAGACGGGGAAACTGAAGGCAAGGCTGGAAGTGGAGCCAGAACACTTTGGTTCAATTCTCCACTCTGACACCTAGCATCTGTGTGACCTTGGGCAAGTCACGTGTCCCCTTGGGTCTCACTTTCTTCAACTGTAAAACAGGGTAGGAGTCCACAGTTTCTAAGGTCCCAGACCTGGTAGCAGTCCAGTCTCAGGCCCCTACTAGCTCGCTCTGTGACTTAGGACAAGTCACCTAACCTCTCTGTGCCTCGGTTTCCTCATCTGTTAATGAATGAGTTGGGCACGCCGTCTTTCAAGGTCCCTGGCTCCAAGGCCACGATCCTATCATTCTTTTCCAGATCCAAATCCTCAATATTTGCCAAGAGTCCCACATATGGTACACCTATATCCTGGCTTGGCCTCTATCCCTGCCCCCATCCCAAACTCCCACCCTCCTATACTCTGGGTTGTTGTCTCTAAAGCTTTGGAGAAAAGAGCCTTGGGAATTCCAAAGCGATGTGCCTTTGAAATGAAGGATGGGATAAAGATGGGAAGAGAGGAAGGACCCTCTCTTTGGGAAAACTCTGAGATCTTTGTCCATTGCAGAGGAAGGGCTCAAGGGCATGGACTCCTGGCCCTGGGATTGTCTCCTGCTCTGTCTTGTCTAGTGCTGGAGAGGGGACAGGAAGCAGACCCAGTGAAGTGAGCACTGAAGTCCCAGGGACTCACCCGCTTGGAGGAGATGGTCATTGTCTTAATAGGGGCTGGAACCTGGAAAGAGAGGTTAAGGTAGGTGGTTAAGAACGGTGGGGACTGAGGGTAGTGAGGAGGAAGGGGGAGAAAAATTTTAAACTCAAAAGCATATGGAAGTGATTGTTGATCTATCAAAATAAATTAATTTAAAAAATGGTGGGGACTCTGGAAATTAGCCCCAGTCCCCAGAGACAGCCTTCCCCTAACCTCTGCCCCTCCCCACTTCCCCCTCCAGCGATGGCCCCCCCTTCCCATCCACCTGGACAAGAAGCCAGGGTTGTTAGGGAAAGCCACAACTGAACAGACTTGGGGGTCCAGGTCTGGGGTTCTTTGGTTAGAGTTAGATTTAGGGGTCAGGGCCAGTTTGAGGGGTCTGGGGCTTGGGGTAGGCTGGACTGGGTTGGGGTCAGGCAGTCACTGGGTTAGGGATGGAGCTGGTAGGGATGGTCTCAGGGCAGGGAAACTCTCACCTTGAAAACTTCGACCTCCTCCAGCATCAGCTCCTCTGTCTCCATATCATCCTTAGGCAGCACAATGACTTTCTGCACAGTGCCTCGATCTGGAATGAGGCAGGGGGCCCTTTAGCAGGTGGAGGGATAGAGGAGGAGCAGGGAAGAGGCCAAAGAGGGGAGGGGTCACTGGCCTCTATTCCACATTCCAATCTGGGACCCAGATCCTGCACTAGACTGGTAAGTGAGAGCTCGGGGCTCAGGAAAGGGAAAGGTCAGGAAGCTGTCCACCCTGTGGTCCCCAGGGCAGGCAATCCATCCAGGGCCTCCAGCCCAGGGGAATTGTCCCCAGCTTTGGACTAAAGGTGGGCCCCAAAGGCAACAGAATCCAGATCCAGAATGAAGTCACTCCACCAGCCCTGCTCCATGGGGCCATCAGAGGCCCCTCACCCAACGCCATGCATATGCGTGTATGTGTGTCTGCTGAGAAACTCAGGCACACATGTATATATGTCCGTGTGTGTGTGTGTGCACGTGTGTGTGATTGCACATTGGATACAGCACTGGGCCTGGAGTCAAGAAGACTTGAATTCAAATCTAGTCTCAGACACTTCGTAGCCATGTGACCTTGGGCAAGTCACTTAATCTCTGTCTGCCTCAATTTCTTCAGCTGTAAAATGGGGGTAACAGTAGCACTTACCTCCCAGGTAGTTAGGAGAATCAAGTGAGACAATATTTGTCATGTGCTTAGCACAGTGCCCGGCACATGGTAGGCCTTTAATAAATGGCTATTTTCCTTCTCTTCCCCTGTTCCTGAGCACGAGCACAACCACATTCATGTGCTGTTATGTGCTGTGTGCCAGACTGAACGTGGGCCTGAGAACACAGTGGGGGGTTCTGAAGTTAGAAGACACGGGCTCGGCCTCTGCCCCCACCAGCCGTGTGGGTTGGGTCAAGTCTAGATAACCTTGAGGGTTTCCTCCAGCTCTAAATTTTATGACCTTGGTTTTCTCATCTGTGTAATGGGGATGATGATACCTACAGGACAGACTTCACAGATAATTATTAAAGAGCGCTGCAGACGTTAAAGGCCACATAAATGCCAGGAGGTGTTATTATTTATGTCTCAGAAATGGGTGCGTGTGAATGTATATCCATACACAGGTGCATGCGTGGGTTTGTGTGTGTTCGCACATGACGGGCCCCGCCTACTACGATTTGGCGCCAGGCCCCTTTACCAAGCAGACACAACAGCTGCTCCTCAGGGGAGTCTGCCAGGAATTGGGGGTGCCCACTCCCTTTCCCAACTGCCAGGGGGCAAGGCAGCTCCACAGCCCTGGTTTATGAAAAGCTGGGGGGGGGGCCTGGTAGGTCTTTCTCTTTCTACCTCAAACACCCAGGGGAGGACAAAGTGAGCTGAGATTGTCCTGGGCCTGAAGCTGGCCCTGAGAGGGGAGGGCTCTGGGAACTACCCCTCCCTCACTACAGGCTCTAGCTCTAGGCAAGCCCCCTCCACTCTCTGGAACCCTGTTTTCCCCCTCAAAAGCTGAGAAGGAAGAATAATGGTGGTGACCATGTTCCCAAGGAGCCCCCTCCTCTGCAGGGGTAGAGCCCTGAGAGGAGAGACTCCCAGCTGCATCCCACCCCGCCCCTTCCCCAAGGCGGCCCAGTGTGACGTGAGGGTGCTGGTGGGTGTGGCAGTGGGTACCTGTGCCCAGGAAAAGCACCTCATAGCGCCCGTCAGCCGCGTCCACCTGATCCACAGCAATGGTGGTAAAGCGGTAGCGGGCGTTGGTCCTGACCACCAGAGGCCGGCGCTGCAGGGGGTACACTGCGTTGTACATCAGGGGGTGGGTACGCATGAAGTTAATGACCTCGTCTGGGTAATCCTTGGTTGACTTCATGGATGGTGTGAAGGTCCCCCCTGGACACTGGAGTCACCAAACACAGGGTCAGTGAAGGGTCCTGGGCCCTGCCCACTTCCACCCTGGCCCTGTAAACCAGCCAGGTTTTCCCAAAGGTATCAGGAATGAGGTTCCTGCCTGGAATCACCTGTTTTGCTCAATCCTGAAGAGGAGTGGTCCTGACCTTGGGCATCAGTTGCCCTGTCTACTATCAGGGTCCTGAGACATGGGGTCAGGATTTGGGGTGGGCGGGGGTCAGATTTCCAAGACAGGAGGATCCGGGACTTAGAATGAGCCAGGATAGGAGGCCCAGAACAAGAGGACTGGGATAGGACCAGGTTGGAGATTCTCAAGGTCAGGATCCAGCACTCCACCCCCGGTACACTCTACCCCATCCAATACACACATCCGAGATCTTCTATCCTGCCAGTCCCCAGTCCCTGAGTCACTCCCTACTCCTACCCCACAAATCCACACAAACCCTCTCTTAGAAAGAGACCTGCTTTCAGCCAAGCACCTTCTCCCCACTTCCATCCCAGACACTGGGAGTCATAGTGGGGGTAGGGAGGTGCCCAGCTCAGAGCTAGTGAGATGAGAGGGTTGGGGGCCCGAAGGGGCCATGACAGTTATCATCAGAAGCACTCCAAACACAAGAATGGCACACACAACTCACAGTGCCAGGGCGAGGATAGGGCATCTTGCCCGTAAAAGGCATCCATTGGTAGTTGGGCCCCTCCTTGTGGGCAAAGGGACCGTTGAAGACCATGCGGATGTCGGCCATGGAGTACACGCAGACTGCAGAACCCCTGAACACAGAGCTGGAGGAGGGGAGAGTTGGAGGTGGGTAGGGGCCCTGGGTCGAGCTTCCTGCCCTTCCCCTGGCTCTCCTCAGCCCCAGAGAGAACCCAGATACAGGCCTCACCCCGAGGACGTGAAGACAGCATAGATGACGGGGTTCTTCACATCTTGGGTTTGTTGTACAAACACGTCCTCTGTGCACAGAAGAACAGGGGTCAGAGAGATGACTCTTAGGACTCCGGCCAGGCCCCCAAATATCTAGGAGCTAGCTAGGTTGTCCCTCCTGCCTGAACATGGGGTGCCCCCATTCTCTGACTGGGTTCCTCTCACTCCCTGCATGGGCACTCACGTAGCTCGTCAAAGTGGGTCTCGATGCCATCAGGGCCAGGAACAGAGCAGATGAGTCGCGCCTTCAGGAAGGTGCTCCATTTATTTACCAGGCAGCAGTGGCCCCCATCATCATTCTGTGGGCACAAATAGCCCCCTTGCTGTGAGAATCCCCCAAACCTCACCCCTACAGTCAGTCCTGACTTCTAAACATCCCCTAATCTGTCCTCAAACCATGCCATGGCAGTGAGCTTCCACTCTCCAACTCTCCCAGGGTTAGCCCCCCACAAAGCCCAGAGTGAGAGATGTGTGTGTGGGGGGGAAGTCTGGACTCCCAAAGAGCCCACACACATGTAAGCAGGCTTGAAGGTCCTGGGCCCAGACCCCTCCCCACCAGCCCATGCCAGTGCCATACCAGGCAGATGCGGCCAATTCGGGCATAGACAGCCGGGCTCTGGGGAGCCTCTGTGGACTTCTCTCGGAAGAAGAAATACAGTTTGTCATCATTCCGTTCAGCGCTGTCTGGGATCAGCTGGGCATGCACGAACGAAGGATCTGGGACCGTGAGAAGGAGAGTCCAGTCTGAGACAACTGTGCAAAATGCACCCCTTCACCCCACATACACATGCACCTTGGCCCTCCTCCCTCTGGCAGAGAAGGGTCTTTGGACACCCTGGCTCAATGCAGCCCACCAGGACCATCTCACCATTGAGCCAGCGAGAGTTATACTGATCTGTCCTCATGGCGGTCTGTTTGCCCAGGGTTCGGAAGATGGCTGCGTCTGTGCCCATGAAATCTATGTACACGCCAGCATATAATTCTTCATCTGCAGAGAAAGGGGGCTCCGTGGGGTACTCATGTCCCCAGTCCCTCACAGACAATCAGGGGAGCCCTCACCTCCTGACACATTGCACTCAGAGCTTTACTCTCCCAGGTTTCTTCCTGCCCGACTTGAACACCCAAATTGCTCCAATACGTGGTACTTCCCCAGGTACTCATGGGCTGGAGTCTGCCTACAGGGAAGGCACATTTCCTGGGAGTGTGATGAGTCTCAGAATCATGGGATTCCAAGGTAAAGGAACTTTAGAAATCCTCTATTTGAGGCCCAGGGAGGCAGGAAGCGGCTCAAGGACAGGGACCCTGCCCCCTCCTTCCTTGTCCTATTTACATTATCTGTGTATATATTGTGTGCCCCTTCCCAGGAAAAGGTAAGCCCCTCGAGGGCAGGGATCCCTTCACTTTTGCCTTTGTATTCTGTCTGCTTAGCTTGGCTCACAGTAGACATTTAATAAATACTTTCTGAATGAACAAATCGGCGTATTAGTTCCTGGTACTGCCTGGCAGTGGACACCTCCCAGGCTGCCCAGGGAGGGGGGCGGCCACCCTCACCCTGCTGGCTGTTCTCAGGCTTCTCCTATGGGCACTGGGCCTAACAGCTGTTCCCAAATGAATAAAGCCTGGAAGTACACAGCCTGGGAGCTGATGCCAGCCTGGGGTGGGGGGTGTTGTGGGCAGGCTGGTCTGGAAGGGGGTGCTCAGACAGACAGAGATTACGAGGGAGGTCACTTAGCAGTCACTCAGTGAGTCAGTGAGGATGTATGAAGCACCTACTGTGTGCCAAGCACTTTGCTAAGTTCTAGAGATTCAAAGAAGGGCAAAAGACAGTCTGTTTTCTAGGAACTCACATTCTAATGGGAGAGAACTTGCAAACGACTCTGTACTAAGAAAATATGGATGGGATAAATTGGAGAGAATGAACAGAGGGAAGGCGCGAGCATTAAGGGGGATCAGGAAAGGATGCCTGGGTTCAAGGTTTGAGGTTTTAGGGTTTTTGCTGGGACTTGAAGGAAGCCAAGGAAGACGTCCCTCTTCCCATGCTCAGAGACGCCATTCCCTGCCCCAAGTGTCTCAAATCATAGGAAATCGGAGACTTTAGAGCTAGAAGGGGCCATAGAGGTCATGTCATTCAACCTCCTTATTTCACAGATAAAGAAATTCCATTTCAGGGGGGAACTGACTTGCTCAAAATCAGTCAGTATTTGAACCCTGATCACAGGAACATAGATTTAGAGTTTGGAGGGGTCTTGGGAATAATAGGATCGAAGAATTAGGGCTAGAAGGGATTGTAGGGGTCATCTAGTCCTTATAGATTAAAAAAAAACAACCTCAAACCTCAAACTGTGAACCTACAGCAGGGTTAAGTCCCTTGTCCAAGGTCACACAGGTAATAAATGACAGGAGGAAGGTTTGTACACCGGTCCTCTGACTCCCAGTCCAGAACCTCTCTCCACTGCACCGGAGAGTGCCTCTCATTCTCTGATGCTGCCCACTATACCACACTGTTCTCTCCCCCAAATCAGAATTTTGTTCTGAGCTCCTTCCCACCCTGTAACCTTTGCATATCAGCCAGGTGCACCTTCTCTCTCCTGTACTCTCAGCCTCTCCTGATTCTGCTCCTCTTTTAGAACCCAGCTCTAGTCCCTTTGAAACCCTCCCCGACCTTCTGATCCTGGTGGAAACCCACATAAGCTAGGGGAGATCAGGGAAGTCATTCCAGCCCAGGCCCTTTTCTTCTGGAGAGGAGGCCACTCACTGATTAGGGCAGAGACGCTGTCCACCTTGGGATCGTAAGGACACTTGCCCTTTCCTGACTCCAGTTTCTCCGGCTCCAAGTAAAATATATAATCCTGCCAGGGAGAGATGGGGATTCAGAGAGGTCAAGGGAATGGGAGGAGATTCTACACACACACCACACCACCCCTCCTCCATCAGCTGCCTCGAGAGTTGGAACCATAAGTAGGAAGGGTAATTCACATATTTCTAAGGATTTAAGACCAACAAAGCTTTTCTCTCACAATAACCTTGATAGGTAGGTCTTGTGAGTACTGCTATCCCCATTTTACAGATGAGGAAAATTGAGGCCCAGAGAAAAGTGCCTTGCCCAAGCTGATCTAGTATCACTGCCCGGGCTTGAACCCAGGCCTTGAGGCTACAAGTCCACGGCTCTATTCAGTGCACCATAGCTCTGGCTGGGAGAGACCCTCTGACCAGAGTCACCAGCCAGGGCTTGGTCCAGATGGATTTTACCCTACCTACCCATCCCCCACTGCCTCCATCACTGAAGGTCTAGTTGTCAAGGGAAGGCTCATGCTAAGGATGAGTGTGACTTTGGGGAAGGAATCCCTGGGTTCCAGTCCCAAAGAAGGGGGCTAAGTGCTATCTTTTGGGGGGTCAATGCTAGAGTGGGGAGGTTCAGGAAAACCCCAGCAGTCCTACCACAGGACAAAGGCAGGAGTCTGGGGGAGTGTGTGGGTGGGGAGGGGATGCAACTATCTATCTTCACATTATACATTCCCAGGACTTTTCCTCAGCTTCCCTGTTCCACAAACCCTCAGACACCCAGAGAAGGCAGACACAGAATAACTTTGGTCTAGAGCCAGACACTGAGGAGGGCAGGTCTGCAACCACAAACACTCTCCTGGGAATTCCCAAGCCAGAGAGAAAACTGGCCTTTGGATTTTCCAGTTCTGGTTGGTACAATACTTCCATCAGCTCTCAGATAACTGAGAGCTGGCTAACCCAACATTTTCCCTGTGACCCCAGGTCTGAGGGTCCCCATACAGGTAGTCCGGCCTAGCCAATGCCTTCCAGGCCCAGACAATTCTGTGTCAAGGAGGGGTAACCTACTAGTTGGTTCATGTCTGTCTCCAAGGCAAGGGGGCAGGAGAGCTTAGCTAGGCTGTCTCTTAGAAACTGCCAACCCAGCTGATTCCCACCTGGTAGGAAGGATCTGGCGGGGTAGAGAAGCACCCTTTTCCCTCATCTTCCCCCAACTCCAAGAACCAAGTTCCAGCCCTTCTACAAAGATCTTATCTGTACTGGCTTGTGTTAATAACAGACCAGCTGAGTGCGGGCCCAAGGAGAAGGAACCCAAAGGTCTGGGCACACAAGTGTGCCCCAGCCTTGGTCACTAGGGGTCTCAGAAGCCTGAGATGGCCCCAGGATGGGGGATTTGTGAGCAGTGCTGGGACCACGCCACAGTAAGACAAGGCAGATCAGGAGTGAAGGGCCACAGAGCCAGCCTGGGCCCCAGCAGGGGTGGGAGTGGGGTGCACATGGCGGGACAGGGAAGGAAGGGGAAGGAGGCTGCGGCAACAGAGGAGCAGAGGTACAAGAGCGGAAAGCAGGCGCCATGGATGGTGATGGGAAGACACACGAGTGACCCTCCCAGACATTGCACACCCACCTGCACGCACACACAACCCCTTCCACACTCACCATGCCAGGCCCCTGCCCCTCAACACACAACCCTCCACTCACCAAGCCCCCAGCACTCACATACACGTGCATACAGCCAGGACCATCTCACGGGCACTCTCCCACACAGACCCAGCGTCTCACAGCCATCTCCCAAATGGACAGTCACGCTCTCACCTATCCACAGCATACACAGAGCTCTCACCAGGTCCCAGCCATCTCTGGCCTGGAGAGAGCCCCCAGGGCAGGTGCTCTGTAGACTCCCATGAGGGAGAAATATGCGCTGCGTGTGTGTGTGTGCGTGTGTGTGTGTGTGTGTGTGTACCTGCCTGGGTATGGCTGAGTATAAGTTTTGAGGAAGTGTGCAATGTGCATGCAGTATGTCTGAGAAGAGTGCCGTGTGGGCTCCTCACTGACACGAATGTGAGCCTATTCATCTCTCCTCAGAACTTGGCAGAATAGGGGTGAGGGCGTCCTCAGGGTTCTCCCCTGGGTAGGGCCTCCACTGTGCTCACAGCTCCAGCACCTCGGTTTGGGGCTGAAGGGGGGGTGTTTAGGGGCCCTGGGGACAGACACTGGAGTGGTTAGGAAGGCTCTGGGAACACCATGGATGCTTAGAAGGATGACAGGTGGCGCTCCAGGTGGGACGGCCTGGTTAACGGGTGAGAGGGTACGCTTCTGTGTCGGGGGAGGGGGAAAACGGGGAGGAAGGGAACAGGGTGGAGGGAGACATCCAGGGTCAGCCTGGAGATGGGTCCTGTCTGGTTTGGAGTAGCCCCATTGGGGCTATCCACAGTTCTGAGTCAGGGTGCTGGAGCCGGGGCCTATGCTGAAGAGGGGCCGGGGAGACTGAGGCCTGGGTCCCACCTGGTGCTGGGTGGCCACAGTTGGGCTCACAGCGGCGGCATCCGTGGCTCTGCTGCCCCGGCCTCTGGCCTGAAGGGTGTGTGTCAGCTCCACAGCCTGAGAAGAAGGACAGAGTCAGGTTAGCCCTGGGGCTCACCCACTGGGGCAGGGAGGGCCACTGTAGGTAGACCAGTTGCCCAGTTGGAGCACGGACACGTGATCAGGCATGCGCTCCTCCTGACATACTCTTGCCCCCTCAGCACACTCACACACATACACACCAGCTCAGGACTCTATTCAGTCAGAGTCACACCCCAGCTCGGCACACGTGCATTCCACAACACGCTGTGGGCGTCCTACAAACTCCCCTCAGCCCCAAGCCTCGTCTACACTCACCGGCCCAGCATCACTCAACCAACATCACACAAGCCCCACTAGAAAGACACCTGTCCACATGGGTTGCCTCTCGGAGAACACATGTGGCCCAACCAAGAACATGCCCGCTCACACATGTTCCCTGGGAGACAGTAAGTGTCCCACTCACAGGAGTCCCCATGGAGAGCACACACATGTCCCATGACACACAGGAGCCACAGGGCCGCACCTGAGCCCAGATGGAGATGAAAGAAAGCAGAAGCAGGGGGGTGAGGAGAGACAAAAATGGCAGGTGTTGGGAGAAGGGAGAGGCAGCATCCCAGGGTTCCCTCTCCCAAAGCTCCCCCTCATATACTGACATGAATATTGATGAGTTCATCTGCATCCAAAGAAAGTGGTTGTTTTAGGTAAGTTTCTTCATCCACCCCAACTCACAACAGTTGGTGGGGGGGTGAGGTAGCTCACACAGGGAAACTGAGGCACAGTAAATCCAATATCCCCTCCCTTCAGCCAGTTGGAGTTGCGGTAAAGGAAAAAACCCAGAATTCCAGCTTCCCAACCCACCATTCCACTCCCCACATCCCCTAACATCTTTCCTGCTGTTGATCTGTCTGTCTCAGGGGCTATTGAGATAACTCCCGCTCCTCCAAAGTCTGAGGCAGGGCCACCTGGCCCTGGGTGGCACAGAATCAGCTTGGAACAGTCCCTAGAATCTGGGGCCCCAAAGACTTCCCTGGCAGCCACAGAGGAGGAGGTGCTAGGGGCACGGGAATGCCCCCCACCCTCATCTAGCCCAAGAGCACCCAGAGAAACCTAACATGGATCCAAAGGGACAGAGCTAGGCTAGGATTCAAGGGAATTCTGGGCAGGCCCAGGGCCACACTTGGGGGAGGGGAAGGGGGAGGGGGGAAAGGAGGGATCAAGGAAGAGATGTTCAGGGGGGTCTAGGCTTTTTGGGTTAGGACTCAAAGGGTCGAGGGCCAAGAGTCAGGAGACAGGGGCTGGGGGTTCAGACCCCGGGCTATACCTGTGCCTTGCGCCCTCGATTGACATAGGTACACACGGGATTGTAGGCACCTGTCCCACACACATACAGATGTGTCCGATTCCAGGGCTGGATGAGACGAATGAAATTCCCACATTCCCCCTGATTGAGGAATGAAGAGCAAGAAGATCCTGTGAAGCCCCCTCCCCGCCCTCTTCCCCAGCTCCTCCCTGCTTTCCTTTCACAACACCCTCAGTGCTCACAGACAGGGCTGGAAGGGATTCCAGAGATCTAGTCCAATATTGTCATTTTACAGAAGGGGAAACTGAGTCCCAGAGAGGTGAAAGGGATTGCCCAAGGTAACAGAGTAGTGAAGCCAAGGCTTACAGCCAGGTCTGCTGACTCTGGGGCTGTTGAATAAACTGGGGGCAAGAGGGGGTATAGAAGTGACTCCTGGGGAGGGGGAAGGAGGAAGGGAGACCCAGGGGAGTCACGGCTGCCTCCTGCCCCTTGGTCTGAGGTGGGTTTCCAAGGGCGAGTGTCAGCTCTGATGGCACAGGCTCAGAGGCAGGCATTGACAGGTGACAGTCGGCTGGGAGGGGGAAATTCTCGGGGGTTCCCTGGTTTCAAAACTAGCATTCAGTCATTGGATATTCAATGACTGGCTAATTTGGGGATTTGGAAGATGGAGCACTGGGGGGGGTGAGTTAGGATTCAGGGGCTGTGAAATTGGGATGCTGGACATTGAAGACTAGGAGTCAGTAGGCTGGGAGTCTGGGGGCTGAGATTCAGGGGCTAAGGGCTCTGGGCTTCAGACCCATGGCTCCTCCCTTCCCTGTCTCACCAGCCCACCACACCTGTGGCTCAGCCCTCAATACTCACATTGCTGTTTTTCCCTGAGAGCACACACTCCTCGATCCTCTGAGGAGAAGCTGCCCAATGGATCTGCCGAGGATGGGGGAGAGTGAAGGTCAGAGCAGGATCCTCATACTCTCATTCACCCCACCCCCAACTTAAAGACCCCCACTCGAGCACCCGTTATGAGGCAGGAGTCTGGGGACAGGGGATCAGATCAGGAATATAGGAATGCCTCCCTTTCTCACACACTCAGGACAATAGTGCTATGTTGGTATCAATATCCCAGCTACATACTGTCTTACCTAGCTGTCTGTTTATCTTGGACGTGGTACTTGCAATTCTGCCAGGCTAGAAGTCCTTAAGGGCAGAGGTGTGTAGGGGAGGGTGTGTATGGGTGTGGGTGTGTTTTCCAGGTATTTGGGGGGTGGAAGTGTCTGTCCCAGGTAGGCAGCTCTGGGGGAAATCCTGATGCTGTCTCTCCCTCCCTGTCACCCTGCCCTGCTCTTACGATGAGGGGCTCTCTGTTGATGTCATGGAGGTCCAAGGACAGGATGTAATCCTTGCTGCCCACATACATCCTGTCATGGTCTTCATCCTTTAGCAGAATCCGATAATCTGTTGTGTTCAGCAGGAAATTGAAGAAATGAGCAGTACCCGTAGCCTTCAGCTCTGCAAAATACAGAACAGGGAGGGAGCCAGTCATCAGGAGTGGGGCAAAAAAGTGGAGATAACCCCAGGGCTATCTAATCTCCCCACCTCCAAGCCTCAAGCTGGAGGACTCCTACCCCTAATCAAATCCTCTCCCTTTCCCTGTACCCCTGTTTCTTGGGGAAAAATCAGCCAGAGTAAGGGGCTGGGAGGGGGCCTGAGTACACAGAAGGCATTTCATCAATGTTTAGTTGAATTTAGAGTTGTAACTAGGAACCTTGGTTTATTGTTGTTGAGTCATTTCAGTTGTGTCCGACTCTCTGTGACCTCATTTGGGATGTTCCTGGCAGAGATACTGGAGTGGTTTGCCATTTCCTTCTCCAGCTCATTTTACAGATGAGGACACTGAGGCAAACAGGAAGAAGTGACTCGCTCTAGGGTCACACAGCTAGTGTCTGAGGCTAGATCTGAACTCAGGAAGATGAGTCTTCCTGACTCCAGGCCCAGCGCTCTATCCACTGGACCACCGAGCTGCCCCAGGAATCCTGGTACTTGAGGTAAATTCATTTGGGGATGATGGGCGGGACACTTCCCTGAAGAGTCTAGTCTGTGCTCCCTCAAGAGTATAATATGAAAGCAAGCAGGCCTTGGCAGAGAGATGTCATCATCATCATCATCATCATCATGGGGATAAGGATGATAGCTGGCATTTGTATGGCACTTTGAGGTTTGCAAAGTACTTCACATGTTATTTCATCAGATCCTTGCGACAGTTATTATTATTAAACAACTATTCTTATCCCCATTTTACAAATGAGGAAATTGAGGCCGAGAATTATGTCCACTTGCCTATATGGTTAAGTAAATGTTTGAGGCATGATTCAAACTCAGGTCTTTCTGATTCCAAATCTAACACTATCCACTATGCCACCTAGCTGCCAATTGAACCATGGGTACATTCATGGAGAGGAAAGGGGTGGCTGATTCCCCTCCTGGCGTGGACTCTGCTTTCTTTGCCTCCTTTGACCTTGGCAAAGGATGCCTTTCCCTTCCCACACCTCTCCCATGGGGATGTGGGCTGTCAGAAGACCAAGAGGCTCTAGGTGCGGGGCCTGGAGGCTCCAGACCAGTAGGGAGGAAAAGCACCCCTCCCCTTAGATGTCAGTACCTAGGACAAAAGCCTCAGCTGTCCCGGTCTAGTTCAGCTGAAACAGCTGGAGTCTAAGGTCCAGGGTGCCAGACTCTTCTTCAGTCTTAGGGCCTGAGGGAAGCCATGACCCTCCTAACTGGATCCAGGCACCGGTGCTTTTGGTGTTGGGAAGAGAACGATTTGTGCCCCCTTCCCACCTTCCAGGCCCAGCCATCCCCCGGGGCTTCCCCAGATCACTGGCAAGAAGCCTCTTCTCCATACTCCTTCCCAGGTTATAGATCCAAGGTCCTGGGCCCACACAACCTCCCTTTCTGTCCCTTTGTCCTCAGCGGGGAGTCACCGGCTCCAGAAACTGCAACCTCTCCTGAGAATAGCTGGTGTAGGGAGGCTGTGGCGCCGGGGCCTAGCTGGGGAGGAGGAAGTTGGGCTGGGCAGGGCCACACCTCTGGGCCAAATCCTTGATGCATCAGCCATCTCGCTAAGCCAGCACCCCAACATCCCAGCTCTTGGAAATTCAGGATAAAAGGGCTGAGGTCCCCACCCCAACGTAGCAGCTGCATCAAAGGTCTTTATGGGCATTCAGGGGTTAAAGAGTAGCCAGCCCCACGCCTACTGCTCCATCACACGCATTGCAAGTCAAAGGACCACAAGGCTTAGAGCTGAAAGGATCTTTGAGATGATTTAGTCCAATCTCTTCATTTTATAGATGAGAAAACTGAGGCCTAGGGAGATGAAATAACAGAGAGAGAGAGGGAGAGAAAGAACAGGGCAAATTGGGCCATGGAAGGAGAAAAAGGAAAGAATGAGGAAAGAATCCAGGAATCCTGACCCAATCTTTCTACTCTTAGATAAGACCTCTCTGGATCCAGAACAGCCCTCAATAGCCCCAGAGAGCACTGGGAATTTGTGAAGGGGGTGACCTGGTGGGAGAGGATACATAAATATTGCATGAGAGGGGCAGCTAGGTGGTATAGTGGATAGAGCACAGGCCCTGAAGTCAGGAAGACCTGAGTTCAAATCCGGCCTCAGACATATAACACTAGCTAGCTGTGTGCCCCTGGGCAAATCACTTAACCCCAATTGCCTCACCACCCCCAAATAAATAAATATTATGAGGAAGAGGCTACCCTGGTGGGGGTGCCTTCGGAGTGGAGGACGTAGGGAATAGCTAGGGAATGAGCCCTGGACATTTGTTTGGGGCTCTGGCCTCCAGGGTCTGCCCACCTTCTCCACCAGTACCAAAGGCATCAGTTTCAGGATTATGAAGCACCCAAAGGCTGAGTCCAGTGGATTCAGGGTACAGTGGACAGAACTGAGATACGAGGGAGCATCTTCCTGCCCCTTTGGGAACTGGCAAACCTGCTGGCTGCCCAACGCTGGTCAAGGAGCCCAGAGAGGTCTAAGGCCCCTATGTGCTTGGTTTAAGCCTCATTCCTAACCAGTCACTTGACAGACATTTACTGATCACTTACTATGTGTTAGGGCCCTGTGGTAAGCCCTGCAAATACAAAAAGAGGCGAAAGAGAATCCCCGCCTGTGAGGACCTTATGATCTACTGGGGGAGACAGCAAACCAACCCATACGTACAAACAAGCTGTAGGCAGCATGTTCTTTTTCGTAGGTACTCTGGAAGGCACGGAGGGCCAACAGGTCTCTCTCCTCTCCTCTCCCTGAGCGTCTCCCACACCTAGAAGGTAGCCGGCACCCCATGGGCTGTTCTCACTGGCTGGCTGGCTTCAGTTCCTCCCTCCCCGCCCCCCATGCTGCCAGACCTGTTTCAACAGCTGGTGAGTTATGACTTTCCCCACCACCAGCACCCCAAGTACCACCTCCCTCCTGTGCCCCCCCCAACCCAGAGTCTGGTCTAACAACTCCAACCTGTTTTTCACCCAGACTTTTGGGGTAGGGCAGACAGATGCCCAACTGCTAGGCCCCCAAGGTGAGGGAACTACCTTTTTTCTTGGCCCGCCTCCTGAGCTAGTGCTGAGTTCTGAGGAAGAACTTCTTAGCCCAGGTTGGCCAAGACTAGAGGGTGGAGGCCTCAACCCAGTTTTGGAATTGGCATCATCTCTACGCTTGGGAGCTGACAAAGGGCTTGAAGCTTTGCAGAGTCCTCTATAGGCATTACCTCATTTGAGGCTCACGATAATCCTGCCAGATAGGCACTGAGTAAGTGTTATTATCCCCCTTTTACAGATTAAGAAACTGAGGCTCAGAGCTTAAGTGACTGGTCCAGGCTCACGCAGCTAGTAACATTCAGAAGTGGGATTTGAACTCAGGTCTTTCTGATTTCCAAGTTTGGCTCTCTACCCACTATACCAAGCTACCTTCTGCTTGCCATACCCCTCCTCTCCCAGTGTCCTCCTCATGAAGATGCGGCACAGTGGAAGTCAGATGTTCTCGGTTTGATTCCCCATGATGCTCCTTGCTACTTGGCATTTAAGGTCCCCCATAATCTTTTTAGAAGCAGCTAGAGTCCTGTACCAGGAGTTAGGAAGCCCTGAGGTCAATCCCTGCCTTAGACACCTAGGCAAATCACACAACATCCCTCAGCCTCAGTTTTCCCCATCTGTAAAATGGGGACAACAATAGGACCCACCCTGTAGGGTTGTTTCAGAGACCAAACAGCATAATTTACATATAATTTACATAAAGTGCTTGGCAAATCTTAAAGCTAGTTACCTTCCTAGCCTGACTTCTTTTGCCCCATCACAATTTGATCACTCTTCTGTTTCAGCCAGGCCTGATTGGCCCCCTACAACGTCGTCCTCTCCCCTCCTGCTACAACTATCTCCCTCTACTTTTTTTTTTTTTGGTGAGGCAATTGGGGTTAAGTGACCTCCCCAGGGTCACCCAGCTAACAAGTGTTATGCGTGTGAGGCCGGATTTGAACGTAGGTCCTTCTGACTCCAGGGCTGGTGCTCTATCTACTGTGCCACCCTCCACTTCTTTTAAAAGGTGTCACTTCCTCTAAGACACCTTCTTTGGGGTCTCCAGTCAAAAGTGCGTCTTCCCACCTCAGATCATCCCAGAGCATTCTGGGTTTCTCCTCTATGCCCATCACTCCCTACCTTGTATCATACTTATCAGAAGCTGGGCCACGCTCCACCTTCTAAAAACAGTTAGCTCCCTGAGGATGAGGACTGTCATTTTTAACTCTGGTGTCCCCATTGTTAGGCAAAGGACTCTGTCAGCAGAAGATTCATTATGTGACCTCAAGCAAGTTACTTCTCTTTGGGTCTCAGTTTCCCTGTCTGTAAAATGAGGGTCCCTCCAGCTGTGGTTCTGAAGATTTTATGACTCGACACCGGGAAAGGACGATGCTTAACCCCAGTGGATCCAAGAGCTAAGGAGTCAGCTCCAGGACGATGGAACAGCAACACACAGGCATCTATTAAAACGCCTACTTTGTGCCAGGCACTGTAGACACACAGAGACAAAAAGGAAAAAAACCCCGGCAGTTCTGCATTTGACTCTTACTTGATATGTGTGTGACCCTGGGCAAATCATTTAACCTCAGTTTCCTCATCTATAAAATGGGGTTAGCAGGAGCACTTACCACACAAGATTGCTGTGAGGATCCATTGAGGCAATACATGCGAAGTGCTTTGCAAACTTTAAAATGCTATATAAATGTAAGCTATTATTATTCTCAGGTAAGATTTTGTGTGTGTGTGTGTGTGTGTGTGTGTGTGTGTGATCCCCAAAGTCTTAGTGTAATTTTAAGCTTTTAATAGCTTAAATATTACTATTATTAATAATATAATAAGTAATGTTATGTTAATTATTTAAATATTTTGCATAAATTTTTAGATGTTTATTATTTGCATGTATGATTATATAATTAATTATATTGACCAATTACATAAAT